GGGGATATTTCGGAGACCCTTAAAAAGTAGTTGAAACTAAAAAATGTTTAAATTAACTATTGGGCATTATTCTCTGAAGTTTTCTGAAGAGAAGCAGAGTTTTCAGATTTAAAAATTTGGATTTTCATGGATTCTATGCCATTTCTACGAAAAGTCTTTTTTCACCATACAAAATACATGGGAAATTTTAAGCGCTTTGAGCGACCTCTAAATATATTTTGATTTTAAAATAAAAAAACAGGGGTATACTTTTTTTCGGTATAGAAAAATCCTAGGGGGTGAGATCATTAAATTTCCGACTTTACTTTTTTGGACCACCCTAGTGTGCATGCGGTTGTACATTCTTGCTGCCGTTCAATATACAAATAAACTTCCATGTTGACTTTGATGTATGCGCTGTGTCGCCTATTTTTGGCTTCATTAGCGCCATTCGGTGATTTGTAGCATTTGCACAATGTTGTAGCATAAAAGGAAAGGCAACAGCAACAAAGAGCAATCGAAACAAATTTTTGCAGAAAAAATACAAGAATTTTCATATCTGTATGTATGTAGTCCATGCAAAAGTGCCCATATACTTTTATGCATATCTGCATACACATTTACCAGTGACCACTAACGCGCAGGCGCGGCAGCATAAAAGCGCATTCACTTGTTAATTTACGAGCAAATAATTGGATAACACTAATAGGATTTGTTTAGTAAATTTTCGGTTTTTTTTTCAAATATTTTATTTAGTGACAGCTTAAACTAGGTGATTTAGAAATGTTGAATGGTTAAATGAAGTGCGAGGGAATATTTAGTAAGTAAAGATTTCCGTAAGTTCATTTTTGAATCCATACCTGTTACTCACGGAGCGAATAAATGCAAACAAATTCTATAAATTAGATGTACAAAGAAACGGACTCGATGGTTGATACTTTTCAAAAACTCAGTTGATTTTACAGTATGAATTTCGACATAATTTTTTGGGCAAATACAGACTAGATTAATAGTACGAAAACGCCATAGCTACCTATTTTGCAAAAATCTCCGAATATAAAATCTTGTTTACCGTAAAATAATGGGTCTGGTTCCATTCACTTTTAATAACAAAAAAAACAAAGTATGTATACCACACAACTTTACAAATTGATGCCTTTTCCAACACTTCATTTAAGTAAAAAAAAAATGTAAGTGGGGCATACCTATTTACTCCCAGGCGCCTTAAGGTCGTTCGTAAAGCACACAAATTGCCGTGTGGCTACTATACATGTAATGTTAACTATAAAAATTCAATCAGCAGCTACTCCGCTTACGTACAACTCCTGATTAGGCGAAGAGCGCAACAAATGCTTAGCAATCCAACAAAGATTTCTTGCAAAGGTCTAAGTATCGCTTAATATTTTTATGTACATACACATGTGTGTATATACGAGTACATACCTATTTATGTGTCTTCTTCTGCTCACTTATGCCGATATACCTTAAGCCTTTGTTTCTAATACATTCGCTCAGCTCATCTGTATTAAATAATACTAAGTTGGGCTTAGCTAAATCAGGCGATTGGAATTAATCTCCATTAGTGGTGTTGATTACTTAATCAATCAAAGTCACTTGTGATTATGGAAGAAAAAATCGAAGAAAAAAAATGCAGCCATGCGGCAGCGTAGTAGCCAACTTCTATGAGTGTGCTTGTATGCACGTGTATTGGCTTACCTTGTTATGCATAGAAGGCAGTGGAATGTGCTGGTAGCAGCGCGCTCACCTGACTTACTGGCTCAAATTCTACTCCTGTTGCCTATTTTGCTAGCAGCTTCGTGATACTTGCCGTATTAACTAATTTGCTTTAAATTTAGTAAGATCACTAGCCTTGAACTCTTCTCTACCAGACAACACGCTAAATATTTTTATTTTATTTTTTCATCCCATATCAAATTTAATTTGTGTTTCTTTTTTTTTCAAAAAAAAAAGAACCTTACGACCTTCCTATTTTGTATGTTTTGCTTCTTGGCGCGCGAAATAGAAACCGATTCAATTCTAATTACCAATTAAAATAGTTGAAGCCATGAATGCCGATAATTCACTGATTCGCCGCGTCACGCTAATAACACAGCAGCCAACAGAAGCCGTCTTTGTGGTATTTTCGAAGCTCAGGTGTGATGTTGTCAGAAGTGCTCATACATATATGTATGTATGTACATATTCGCCTACTGCTCATATGAGAGCTCTGTCAGTAGCAACATCAACATTAATTTATTCAATAAATTGTAAGCAAGAACTGTAGATTAGAGAAGCCCTCAACAATAAGCGCAGTACAATACTTCAACCACAATTATGCGCAATTACAAAACAGCTACATATACCACATGCAACTATAGTAGTATTATGCCAATATAAATCAATAGGGGTATTCACCAAATTTAGCAAGTGAGCTAGCAGTCAGGCAGAAGAGCTGGGCTAGAATCGTAACGTCCGTTCACGTATGGGAAACGATACGAAAGAATTTTACGTGATACGTCAGGCAGTATAAGCTGAAAGGGACAAGGAGTACTCTCACATATGTCATAGTCCGAAAAATGTGTTTTTTCGTGACGAATAGTACGATATCGTATGTGACGATTCGATCTCTGATTTGCTCAAGCAGCTCTTCTGCCCAACTGCCAGGTCCCTTGCTCAATTTAGTGAGCACCCCTAATGACTGAATGACAAATACCCCTGCAGCTAACAGGTTTGCTGAGCTCCAGCCACCGTCGATTGTATGCTCTTCTGACGCGTGCCGCTGGTGCCTGCTTTGATTAATATTCCATTGCGCCGAGGCTCTTCGGTGACTCAGCATATTGCTTTTCCAGTTCGACAGTGCCGCATGAACGTCTACTCTATCTAAAATGACTTGTTTTGAGGCATTATAGAAATTTTGCTATTCTCAAGGACTGAACTTCTGTTCGTGTAAGCATGCCTCGTCTTAGACAACATGTTTGCCTCTACGTTAAGTTTGATGTGCGCGTCTGTCAAGCTATAATCCTTCTCGCGCGTCTAAACATGCTGACTTAACTATACTGAGAGAACAATACCTACTTCAGGCTGCAGCATTCCTCATTCTCATGAGGTTGGGGTATTTAGAGGTGGTGCATGTGATTCCTTCCCACTTTGGCCCATTTGCCATGGTCCATTTTTATGACTCCCCGAGTTATAGAACCCTTGTGGACTAAAGAACTAAATGCCGCATAAGAATGCATTACGATTAGGTTCTGAGGACCAAGCCTTTATATATTTGACTATACCAGGAACCAGCAATTGACCTATGTAAGATCTAACGGATCGGTCAAGCTAATCTAACCTAACCAATACATTATACTAAGGCTTTATAAACTCCCATAAGTGTCCAGAAAGGCAAAATCTGCACTTTGAAATGAACAGTTTGTGCAGCGAATATCTTTGCATGCTTCTTAACTTATTTCATATTTCTTAGTACTCATCGTATAACTCACTAACTGAACTCTTATCAGACATATGAAATTCTTCGACTTGGCCACTTGACCTAAATACGCACGCACAAATAACTGTTCTGTGCAGATAATTTTACAAATGTTTCCGTTAAAGCGGATTGAATGACATTCTACAGCGACAATCACTGACTCACCCAGGTTCTGACTGCTGAAAAGACCTTGCTATGACACACACGTAACTGGTGTGACTGCAACCGTAACAAACAGCCTACACGCGTGCGCGCTTGCTTTGACAACTACTTAAATTATACAAGTGTTTCATTACGAGGCACTTCATCAAAAATACCAAAGCGTAATAATAAATTCAAACACAACATTAACGAACGCGAAAAGCGAAGGATCAATATAAAATCCGAATGGCAAACTGTAAACAAACAAGCAAACCAGCAAACGGATTTAAAATCAAAGAAATTGAAGTCCACAAAAGCGGTCGAGCGGGCAGAGAGTGCAGCAAAAGAAATAAAGAAGCATGGCACTTCAGTTCAAAAGGAATGCAAAAATGCAAAACAAAAAAGCGCCAACAACTCGGCAGTCAAATGTGAGTGCCAATAATTACAGCGCAAACAACATTTAACACCAATGCGCAGGCGTACGGAGGTGGACGCAGGCGAGGGGCTGGTGGAATGTAAAATGTGAGTAGTATTGCGCGATATTGGCAGCCTGGTGGTGGGTCTTTGGCAGCAAATCACTGCTGCTGCTTGGTTGGTCTGAACCAGTACGCTGTGCCACGGCCTGAACTGGACCAAATTCCAAAGCGAAAAAGCGGGATTGAGACGACGAAGAGTAACGCGACGGGGTGTGCTGACCGGAATGGTTGGTTAGAGCGCTGCTGAAGGAGGCTGAAGGCTATTTGTGTGGTGGCATGTTGGTGATGGCGCGCGCATGCGCACATTCCTGTCAATAAAATGCGATTGCCGCGCAATGTGTTGTCCGAATTGCTGAGACTTGAGAGTTATTGGGTGCCTTACGTAATCGCGAGAAAAGAAAGCAATAATAAGAAATAAAATCAGCGACAAAAATTGAAGGCAATAACAGCGAGAACCGCGCGCTATGTGCCACTCGACCAATCGACGACAGCGCGCGAGTTTTGATAGTCGCTAAAGGTGGGTTTGTTGTTGTTGGCGAGGCGGATATGTAGCCAGCTGCCACTTTGACCTCAACCGGCGCGGCATACGGAGAACAAAAATTAATGCCAAACAGCCGGTATAGCCGTTCCAAATTATGGTTCCTGGTTAGGCGTGCACTTGTGAAACTTTGCTAAGCTGCGAATATTCTAAATCATGCTTGCGGATATTGAAATTCACAACGCATTTCAGTAGATATCGCGTGGCAAAGTTAACGGTTTGCTGACTGCTCGATAACTCAGCGGCGCGCGCTATCTCACTGCCGCGCAACAAATTTAACAGCGCGCTGATAGCACAGTGCGGCATGCAACTGTGGGATACACATACAACTATTTCACACGGCATTCAAAGTTTAAACAAAAACAATGTAATTGAACTAACGCACACTTACCTTGCTTGCACGCTGCTCTTGTTGCTGTTACTGCCGATGCTGCTGCTGCTGCTGCTGATGCCATTGCCGCCACTCACTAACGTCTGCGTTGGCATGCAACGCGGCATTAAGGGCGGCGGCGGTGGTGAAGACTTCAGCGGCGCGGTCGTATTTGATGGCGATTTGCTGGTGTTGGTCAACTGCTGCGGTGGTGCTGGTGATGATGGCTGCTGCGGTTGTTGCACATTTTCCAAAATCGGTGGCGGCACGTTAAAACCAGCCAGCGCGGGATTGTGGTGCGGTCGCTTGCGGTTCGTTAACAGCTTCGCATTTGACGCGCTTGTCAGCGACGGAACCTGCGTAGGCGGCGAATGTTGCTGCGACTGTGGCACACCACCATTCAACAGCAAACGGTTAGCCGCCAGCTGTTGTGTGTGTTGCTGTGGCTGCGGTTGTCGCATCGACACATGCAACGCTTCAATGTTGTTCGGCTTCTTCGGTATGAGTGGTGGAGGCAACTTACCAGCCAACAAGGATGCTGAAGTCGGTGACGTCTCGGAACCGCTGCGCCCAAAATACGCCTTTCGCGAGGAAGAACCAGCAAAGCTGTTGCGACGATTGGGTGAGGGCGCTTTGGGCACCAGTTCACAGCTCGCGTTCATCGACGCACTCAGATCATAGTATTGTTGCAGCTGTTGTTGCTGTTGCTGCTGATATTGTTGACGTTGTTGTTGCAGCAGCTCAGGCGGCGGTGGTGGCAAAGGTTCATCCGCGAGTTGCGTGTCCAAGTCCGCGCTGGGTGGCAGCGGCGGCAAATCCGGCGAAGGAACGCGCAAACTCGGATTCTTTGGCGGTCTTTCAGGCACCCAACCGGGTTCAATGGCGGCCGCTGGCAGCGGTGGATTGTAGTATTGCTGCACATAGTTTGGTGGTCGCGCATGTTGCTGCGGATGATGTTGTTGATGTGCCAGCGCAGCGGCTTGCTGCAGCAACGCCTTCTCACGCATGGCTGCCGCATACTCAGCCGCAGAAGAGGTGCGACGCGTGGGTAGCAGGTTAGTGGGGCGCGCTGCTCGTGGTGGCGGTGGCGGCGGCGGCATACCGCAATCATTGAAGGAAGATTTCTCCGAGCTCGAAATGTTCTTAACGGATTGCGCAACGAGTTTCTCTTGCGTGGCACGCATGTACTGATCACGAAATTCGGCATAATCTGAGGCGGATGAGGAGCGCCGCAGCAGCGTGTGTGGTATGAGTGAGCGTGAACGTGGTGGCGGTGGTGGTGGAGCGGGAGAGGGTGGTTTGGTGGGCAGCGCGCTGTAACTGCTTGATGCACCGACGGCTTGTATGAGAGTCGCACGCTCATCATTGCTGCCGACATGGCCGCCACTGGTGGGCTTCTGTGGAGGTGGCGGCGGCGGTGGTGCGCACAAACGCATTGGCAGCTGCTGTGCGGAGGTTTTCTGTTGCTGAAATGTGCTGCCACTCAAATTGCTATGCTGCGCGCCATAGGAGTTTGGCAGCGAGCTGCGCATGATTTGATGTTGTGTGTCAGATTCTTTCATGTTCGACTGGTAGGAATGCGGACGTAAAAGTGGCTGATGCGACGACTGTGATGGCGAATGCTGTTGTTGATGTTGTTGCGGCGGTGAATGCTGGTGCTGATGCGCTAACTGATGCTGATGCTGGGAATGCGCAGTGAGTGGCTGATAGATTTTTTGCGACTGACCCTGTTCTTTGGCTTGCTGCTGTTGTTGTTGCTGCCGTTCAAAGTACGACTGCACCGCATTCTTTTGGAATGCCTTCAGCGCTGGATTCGAGACGCGATGTGTCTTACTCGGGTCCATGTAGGTATACTTCTGCAGCTGCGGTTCGTTTTTGGTGCGCTCAAAGTCGTTTATCAGCTCAGCGACCGACTGCCAACTTGGCTGAGGCGGACTGGTTGGAGACGCCAAGTATCTAAAGTGAAGAGAAGAGAAGGGAGTGGAATACAATTTACTTTAAAGCTTGCGTACAATGAAATTCTATAACTTACTTTGTCGCCAGCGCCACTGATGCTGCCGTCTGCTGCGCCTGCTTCTGAAGCAGCTGCGGTTGTTGTTGTTGTTGCTGCTGCTGTTGCTGCACCGGCTTCTGCAAGCCGGCGCTATACTGCGGCTTGGGATGCAGCACAAATTGCGAGGTGTTGCTATGCACCTTTTCGGTATAGGTGCTCACAGGAAAGAGACGGTGATTGCTGCGGTAGGATTGCGATGGTTGCGCGGATGCCGACGATACCGCGGACGCTAAGGAAGTTGTGGACGTGTTCAGCTGCGAATTAGCGCTGCCAGGCGAAAGCGACGCGCCACCAACTGGACCCGCGCCAATAGCGATTACTTCCACAATGGCGTTGGTCGCACTGCTGCTGACGACAACTGGCTTCGGCGCTATGGCAGGCGAGTGGGACGCAAGCGCGGAAGTGAGCGCTTCCACCTCCGCTTGCGTATTTGTCACAGATATGCTTGTATTTTGTGCTGGTAATGGCGGTGGTGCTGCCACATCACTGCCGCCGTCGTCTGTTGCTTTTAGCGCACTCACCAGCGGCGACGTTTTCGCGGATGCATGTGTGCTAAGATTGCAGCCATCAGTGACGCTTGCACTCATGGAACTGGGTAGCGCATCTGCAAGTGACGCGGCAGCAGGTAATTTATGCGCGAGTGATTGTGGCTGCTGACGTACTGCATACTGCGGATGTGGCTGATAGGGATGCATGGCGGCGGTGGCGTGTACAGGCGGGTAACTTGGACTGTGGCGATGATTCGGAAGCAACGCGGCGTTTTGCGCCATCAACCGTGTGGGCGAGTGTGTGCGTTCGCGCGCGGACAATGTTGGACTGATCTGTTTGGGTGCGCTCGGCGAGTGCTGTTGCGCAGACGATATTAGTGGCTGCTGCGCTTGTTGCGGCTGCTGGGACTCGTCGTGCAGATACAGTACGCTTTCGCTGTGATGTCGTTTGGGGGGTCAAAACGCGCGAACTATGCACAATCAGTTGCGACGAGGAAACTGAAAAGAATGAGGAAAGACAAAAATAAATTAATTTCAGAAAAAAAATAATGTGTGCTACAGAGATAAATCACAGAATGCTCGCAGCAGCGTGCGCCCCTCGAACGAGGTGAATAAAAATGAATTGCAAATCTATAAAATGATCCTTGAACCAACTGCGCAAATCAACAACGTATAAATCACCTAAACAGCCTGCAGCGGCACACTGGACAGTCGCCTTCATTACCGGCATCCAGTCAATCGCGGTTGCCGGTGGCTCCACCGCCACCGCCTTTACTGCAGCCACCGCCAGTAGCTCTTTGCCGATTAAGCGACCAACATTCGACAGTTTCCGCTCGACGTTCGCGATTAGCAGAGGATGGCGGCGCAGGCGACGTACATGATTAAGCGTTTGAAAGTGGTGAACAAGCTGCGTTTTTTATACGCTAGCTAACCACCCTTACCGGCCAACGCGCGGAGCTCCTGTGCAAACAAGGTGTCAAATCAGGCGCACCAGCAGCTCGGAAAAGATATATCGCTGCCGCTATTGTCGCATTGCTGGGTCGGTCAAGAAGCCTGTAGAAACAAGCTACACATTTATGTACATATATACATATATATATGCGTTTGTTAGTTGTCATAGATAAATGGCCACAACATGACACAGTGGCAACGCGATCGTTTGCTAGCAACAGTTGCGCTTGTGGCGTTCACCGCGATTGTGTAATCTAATAGCCAATTCATTTAACGGTTTTGTACTTGATTTTGTTGTCGCCGCCGCCGCCATCGCCGCCGCTGCCTCCGTTAGTTGCTTAACACAATTTTTCCTGCCTCGTTTTGCGGCATGCGCGAATTCGTGCTTATATTGCAATTATAAAAGATTGCCAAGCAGCCATGGTGGGGGTATTAATTTTATAGAACCTTTTTTGCCAATTTTTTTTCTTGCAATTTATAAATTTATTTTTCCTTGAATGCTTGCTCTCGTATGTGCTACTAGACTACATGCTACTACTTGCTACTTGCTACACACTCCGTCCGCATACGGGTTTAATCGCATCGGACTTAGCATTTTTCGTCGCCTTGTGCGCTTACGCCTTTGGGCGTGGTGGGAGTTGCTGTGGCGGCTGTTGGCCGTCAGCCTGGCTGATACGATTAAATTTGCACCTACTAACTACCTACTTTAGTATGACAAATATCTTGCGGCCAAGCAAGCGAAGCAAAAAAAATAAAAATTGGTAGGAAAAACCAAAAGTTCTTACGTTTTGGAAAGGAACGTTAAAGGTTAGAATAATTGTGAACCCAATTAAGGAATCACAAATGCCGTAGGCAATTT